AACCAAATGGGAACAGACTGCGTCATCGGACAGGATACCCACAGCTGGGGAATTCTACGATTTCCTGGAGAAGCGATGCCAGAAGATGGAGAACGTGCAATACGCTATAGCGACACACGCTGGTAGCGCTCAGGTGGGAAAAAGCCAGTCTACACACCTTAAGAAAACCTTTGTTGCCTCTAACTCTTCCGCCGACCCGTCTGGATACCCTCTCTGCCATTCAGCGGGCCACGGAATATACTCGTGCAGCATCTTCACAAATTTATCTCCTTTTCTGCGTCACAAAGAAGTGAAGAAGCTGTCACTGTGTTTTAACTGCTTAAAATCGGGTCATCGGACTCGTGCATGCACAGGTGGCCAGTGTAGAGTTTACGGAAGGAGGGATCATACCTTGTTGCACTTCGACTCATCTATAGCGCAAAGCTCCCCAGCTGGTTATCCTCCAGAACGAGCAGTACAACCAGGAGCTATTACGCCGGTTCAGGATTTTGCCAGCAGTGTGCCGTCTCATGCGTCTACCTCTCTTGCTGCCCAAGGTCTCCACTGGCGTTTTGGTTCCTTGTCGCGCTATTCTAGATTCAAGATCTCAGCTTCATCTCGTTACCTCCAGGTTCGCCCAGCAGCTTCAGCTTAGGAGAACTCAATCGTCTGCCCTTGTTTCTGGTCTGGGCGATACTAGTGTGTCCACTGAGGGATCCACCGTCAGCATTTGCATGCAGTCTCGCACTTCGGACTATTCGACCACACTCACTGCTCGCACCCACAATCACAGATAGCCAACCAAGTCTGGCAGTTAATGTAGCCGATTGGAACATTCCCTCCAACATTCAGCTTGCCGATCCTGCATTCTTTAATCCTCAGCGAGTAGATCTCCTCATTGGCGCGAGCATATTCTATGACCTTCTCTGCGTAGGGCAAATCAAGCTCATAGATGGATTGCCTCTTCTGCAGAAGACCCGGCTTGGGTGGATCGTATCTGGTGGTGGACAGAGGGTATCAAGCTCGTCGCTTTTGGCAACCCATAATTCTCCGGATTCGAGGATAGAATGATTGCCAGGTTGGATCGAACTCTTCGTATGTTTTGGGAAGTTGAGAATTGTGTGGAGGCTAGCTTGAGTACAAAGGAAGAAGTAGATTGTGAGGCGCATTTCGTAAGCCACTTTTCACGGTTGGCATCAGGGGAGTACTCCGTTCGACTGCCTTTAAAGCATGATGCTGATCACTTTCTCACCTTGGAGCGAAAACTGGATCGTAATCCCGCGCTCAAGGAGCGTTAGTCAGCTTTTATGAATGAGTATACTGATTTAAAGCATATGTCTCTATGGTGCTCGAGTAACCAGGAGGTGCTTGATGGAATTCCGGAGGACGACGTGGAGAAATTTCTACGGTTTCATGATGGAAGCGACATTACCAAAACTCTTGGTTTAGCTTGGGACTCTGCGTCGGATCAGCTGCTGTTTGCCTTGTCCGCGCTGGACTCGAATTCAAGGCCCTCCAAGCGGTCGGTTTTGTCAACTATTGCGCGTTTCTACGACCCTCTTGGATTGATTAATCCTGTTATTGTCAGGTGCAAGATCTTTCTTCAGCAGCTTTGGATAGAACATTTGGACTGGGATGAAAGCCTACCGACAGCGCTGCACTCAACTTGGATTGACCTGAGAAACAGTTTGGCAAGCATCTCTCACATTTCCTTTCCTCGCGTTGTCCATCATTCCAGCATAATTGTAGAGGTTCATGGATTTTGTGATGCCAGCATGGAAGCGTATGGTGCTTGCATATATGTCGTGTCCAGGCAAGGGGAGTCGTCGAGCAATGTTTTGTGCTCAAAGTCTCGAGTGGCGCCACTAAAATCATTGTCGATTCCAAAGCTGGAATTGAGTGGAGCCCATTTGCTTGCGAAGGTTATGCGCAACTTAAAGGAGACGGGAATTTTCCCAGGTCAGTTTTACTGCTGGTCGGATTCGTCTACGGCGTTATCTTGGATTCGGGATGAGCCAGCCAAATTTCAGGTTTTCGTGGCAAATCGAGTGGCAACAATTCAGGAGTTGACGCAAGGCATGGAATGGCGCTATGTTCCCACATTGTTGAATCCCGCTGATATCCTCTCCAGAGGCTCGCTTCCCAGCTACCTTATCCAGTCAGAGCAGTGGTTTCACGGCCCCCCGTTTTTGTTAGGTTCTAAGGATGAGTGGCCTGTATCTGCCGTTTCTGAAACTCCGACCATTGATCTTCGCAAGCGTGTATTGCTAATCGCGTCTCCACATGCCGATCTCACGTCCGGATGCAAATTTGCTAATTCTTTCTTTGGCATGCAGCGCACATTCGCCTACATGCATAAATTCGTTCATCGTCTTAGGCATCCTGGACTCACGGTTTCTGACATACAGCAAGGAACGCATCTTCTTGTTCGACACTTTCAGCTGGCAAGTTTGTGGTCGGACATAAAGGAGATTAGACGCAATGGGCAAGTCAGGAAGTCTAGCTCTATCAATTCGCTATCTCCGTTCATCGATCCGTTAGGTTTTCTTCGAGTTGGTGGTCGTCTCGGCAACTCTTCGCTCCCGTTTAATGCTCAGCACCCGCTTATTTTGTCCAAGGGACATCCCGTAACATCTGCAATGATAAGCTATTATCATCAACGGAACCTCCATGCCTGACCTCGCGCCTTGCTTGCTAAAATTCGATTAGAATATTGGCCTATTGGAGGAATCAAAGCCGTCTCGAAAGCGGTTAGCAAGTGTGTAAGATGCTTCAGGACGAGGCCTCGCATGGTTGAGCACATTATGGGGGACTTACCTAAGGAGCGTCTGGAAGGATCGCGGGCCTTCGAAGTAACTGGAGTGGACTATTGTGGACCCTTTTTCTACCGATCAGAAATCCGCACGAGGCCTCCGATCAAGTGCTACATAAGCGTGTTTATTTGCTTCACATCTAAGGCCATACACATGGAGCTTGTTAAAGATCTGACCACCGCATCGTTCCTAGGCGCACTGAAACGTTTTACGTCCACTCGAGGAAGGCCAAGTCATATTTGGTCGGACAATGCTACAAATTTCGTTGGCGCTAAGAATGAGCTTCTGGAGCTGAAGAAGCTTTTCCTGAGCGACTCGCACATGAAGGAAGTCCATGAATCCTGCTTGGCTGACACCATCGACTGGCATTTCATCCCCCCGCGCTCTCCGCACTTTGGCGGATTGTGGGAAGCGGCCGTGAAGTCCGCAAAGTATCACCTGTACCGCTCAGTTGGGCCATCCATCCTTAGCTTCGACGAGCTCCGCACCTTGATCTGCCAGATCGCGGCAATTGTTAATTCTCGCCCTTTGCTCTCGCTTTCAGAAAATCCTGATGGCTTGGATATGTTGACGCCTGCTCATCTGCTTTTGGGAGGCCCGCATCAGTAAATTCTCGAGCCTGACCTAACGAAGCTCAACTACAACCGTCTGGATGGTTGGCAGCGGGTCACTCAACTGCAGCAGACATTCTGGAGGCGTTGGCGCGAAGAGTATCTGACTCTTTTGCAAGAGCGCTCGAAGTGGCGAAAAACCTGCGAAAAACCTCTGCGTCAACGATGTCGTCTTGGTGAAGGATGAGAATCTTCCTCCAATGCGTTGGCCACTGGCTAGAGTGGTCGACGTCGTCAAAGGCAAGGATGGAGTATGCCGCGTGGCTGATTTGAAGACGGCTTCAGGAACCATCAGGAGGGCCGTTACTCGGCTGTGTTTGCTGCCCCTTGAGAAGTCAGTTGAAAGGCGAGCTTCCAACGGGGGGAGTATGTTCGGGCCAGCGGCTACTTAAGCGTCTATCATAATATTAAATGTAGCTGTAACTAGTTGTATAAGAGTATCGAAACCTAAGCTTATGTATGTCCCCAGAGTTCCGCAGTGCTGCATAAGGTATATAGACCGAACGTTCTGAATATCAATAATTGACTGAGCGCAGGGCAAAATGGGCCGACTGCCCGTGCCCTATGCATAACGAGAGCGTGAGAGCATTATGGCATAGTTAGGCTCGGCTTCTGAGCCGAGTAGAGCAAGAGAGCTGCTTAAACGCAGCAGGTGCAGCAGCAACACGAAGGCAGCGGGAGACAGCTGCCAGAACAGCCGCTGCTGGCTGCATCAAACGAATTTATAATACTAGCTCACGAGCATTTGTGACAGTCTGCTTTAAATGCAAGCCTCGACTCCAGACCCAAATAATAGGAAATAGGAATAGGAATAGGAACGTCCAAGGCGGTTCATCTAGAAATTATCTACAATCTGAAAACTTACTCCTTCTTATTGGCTTTTCAAAGGTTCGTCGAGGATGTCCGTTCCGCGTAAACTGCGACAACGCGAAAAATTTCGCCGGAGCCAGTCGCCACTTCGACGACCGTTATGTTGGGGATCGAGGAAGTCCTAAAGCCCAGACCCAAGCGACGGATCACCTGCTGACAGGCGGGCCGCTCATCGCACCCCCAGCACCCCGGGCACCGGACCCGCACCAGCTACGTAGGTGACCGTTTCCACAGGATGATGGACCGATTCCTGGTGCAGGGCGGCGATTTTCTAAACGGTGACGGCACCGGCACCGGCATCTACGGAGACTGATTCGAGAATGAGGACAAGGCTCTGTCAGTGGAGCATAACCGCCCAGGGTATCTGGGCATTCCAAATTTGAGACCAGACACCAGCGGATGCCAGTTCTATGTGACGATGGGAATTACACGGCTTTCGGCAAAGTTCTCGAGGGCATGGACACAATCTATGCCATCGAAGATGTGAGTAAAGCTTGAATCGGCTACTTTATTTACTGCTACTCCTACTAATAAATAATTCTTTTATCAAGTAAAAACGGACACGGATGACTCTTCCGTGCACGCTGTGGTCATATCCAACTGCGGCGAGACTCCCACCTAACAATATAACATCCTTGGGTGGATCAAAGCGGCAGGTCTGCCCGTGACCAGCTCCTTTATCGTGCTGCTCATCTTTCACTATTTTTCTCGACACTATTACTTTTGAAGGACTTTAATTACTGCACATATAAACCCAATACAATAATCAACACAAACATTCACAAATATATAGCAATATGTCAAGTGGCGATATGGCCTTGCATCAGGATAGGAAGTGTAGGACCCATGTGAAGCTTTAGGGAACAAAGGATATAGAGAATGATTTTAGGGAATTTTAGTGTGGAGCGGTTTCTTACGTCTATGTATATGTAGTCCTCGACTAGCTGATTCTTTTCGTAGTGACGCGACTCGGGCTTGAAGTATCCAACGATTCGGACATCGACACCGGAGTAATTCGACTGACTGGCAGAGTATACCTTGGCCAGGGTGAAGTGGTGCTTGTGGTCGGGATACACCGAGTAATTGAGGCTGTTGTAGTATTCCTCCATTAAGTGGCGATCTTTGCCCGTCAGAGTTCGCTGATGAATCAACAGGCGGTCTAGGTCGAAGGAGTGTGAATGCATCAGATTGGGATCCTGGGCGTCCACCAGGCGCTCCACCATGTTTCGATATTTCTTCTTGAAGTACTCAAGGGTCGTGCACTTTTCGGACCAGAACGAGAATTTTTTATCAGCGCTGAGGAGAGACGAGAACCGCAGATAAGATAAGGAATATAATTTATATGGCGCCCATGTCGGTACTTACTGCTGTTCGAAAGTGATGCTAAAGTCCACAAAGAGTCCGGGTATGCGGACAGCAGTGCGGGCGGCGGCTATCAGTTTCCCTGGGCCGAAGAAGTGCAGCTGTAGCTCAAAGCGGCGCAGGGTGTTGCGGTTGAGCTGGCCAAGGTCCAGGATGTGGCCCCTCTGTTGGCACGGAATGGGCTGGACAGTAAAGTACTTGACATTCGGTGGCAGCTTGTAGCTGCCTGCCTTATGCATTTTTTTGTGGCTGTGGTAGACCTCTTGGTGCTTGGCGTACAGCTCGGCGCTGTCCCGAAGGCGGCTGCGGTAGCGCTCGCCAAGAAGCATCTGCTTGAGGATGGTGGCGTGTGGCAGCTCCTGGTTGTTGTTGACCAGCACGTAGGTCTGCACCATTTTGAACAGCTGCGTGTCGTGGTAGCGCTGTCGCGCACTGGACATTTCATCCTCGGTCTCCGACAGCTGAATGAAATCCTCGGATATGACTTCCTCCTGAATGCCCCCCTCCTCCTCGCAATCAACTGCAGCCAGCTCCCCATCCGTCTCGGTGATGCTCTTGAATATCTCGTAGTAGTAGATGCGCTGCAGCAGGCGATATTCTTCCACGATATCCTGCTCCGCCTGGTGATCCGCCGGTAGCTTCGAATCCGCGTCCAACATGGGCATCACCCCCTGGCCACGCAGCCAGAAGTGGCTCGAGGCACTGCTGTTGATTAGCACCCCGAAGGTGTGGCAGAAGCTCTCGCTAAAGCCAAGGATACCCTTGACCCGCATCTGGTCGCTAGCCAGAGGTTCGAGGTGAATGAAATCGCTGCTGGCTAGCGTGCTGTAGCCCTCGATGAGACGCTTCTCCTGTGACCCTACCGGCGTCACCTCCACGATCATCAGTTGGAGATGGTACTTGGTCACATTCGCGACACGAACCAACGCATGAAAATTTTCGTACCACGGCTGGAAGGGACTCGAGATGAGATAAAGTAGCTAGAATGGGAGTGAAGTCTTTTGGGTACCGTACCTTAATCCCTAGATAAACGCTTTCCTTGTGGAACTTGATCTTCTGTACGAGATTGACCAATGTGACGGACAAGTACTGGCTGCGACCACCCACCACCTTGAGCTCGAAGAGGGCCCGCAACTCGTGGGAGCGCCGGATGTGGGGCAAGTGCAGCAGGCACTGGTGGTCCGGCTGCACTTCGGGCACCGCCACCTCGCCCTGTTTCTCGTGGAAGTAGATAAAGCGCTCGGCGAAACAGTACTCCGAGGAGGCGGGCGACAGCCTGTCGCTGGACTCGACGTTGATTCTGCCGAGCAGATCGTAGATGGTGGCACGCACGAAGCTCGAGGTGCTGTGCAGCTCCAGGGCAGTGGCTTCTTCGGAAGGGGCCTTCCCTGGGAATGCCAGGGGGTGATGGCTGAGATCCAGGTCGTTGACGATCTCATCGAGTATCTCTAAGATGATGTCGCTCGCCTCCGAGTGGTGGTAGAATTGGCAGCGGCACTGCTGGTAGCGGAGGGTCATGTTGGGCTCATCCTCACAGCTGAAGTTGTACTCGAGCATGCGCAGTATCTCCGAGAGGAAGTCGGCTACCAGGTCCTGCGGATCATCAATGTCTCCCACGAACAGCTCGGATGTCTCAAGCCGCTTCCATTTGAACTCGGCCCGCAGGCAGCCCTGATTGACAAGATTCACGTTACTGTCGAAGGGCGTGCCCCGGTCGAAGAGCACCATCTCGGGCTGTATGATGAGCACGGCCGGCACCCGTATGGAAACCTTCAGGCATAGCGGATTCAGCTGTCGCCCCAGGGCCCAGACGCTAATGCGGCCCTCAACCTGCTTGCAGAACAACTGCTTCATGGCTGCCCTGTTGAGGATGATGAAGATATCCTTGTGCTGAATCGCCTCTATGGGCACGAGGATCTCCTTTTCGAACAAGTCCTCGTAAAGGCCCTTAATTCGGAAGGGTCCTGTGGCCTGGAGCCTAACCTCGGCGATGGGCACCGACTGCTTGTTGATCAGCTCGGGGGTCTGGACGTTGGACCGCTCCTTCAGCGGATCGCAGCGCTGGTACTCGAAGAGCACCTGCTTGCGGCTCCAAACCAGCTGGCATTCGATGAATGTGGCCTTGGCCGTCACCTTTATGGTGTACTTGCGTTGCGGATACTTCTGGTCGGTGACCTGCAGCAGAAAGTCGCTGAGAACGACGCCCTCCTGACAGGAGCTGGTCATTATCTCCATGCCCTCCTCGCATCCCGGTGGCAGATACAGGTGCTTGGGCATAATGTCGAAACGGGCCGTCAGTGCCTGCGAGGCGCACGACGAAATTCGTCCTTTAGGCTGTGTGTAGGTCTTCAAGCGGGTGACGGTGACGCGGTAGGAGCGGAAGCCCTTATTGATCACCTTCACTGGGAAGCGGTGGTTGTAGATGTTCTTATGGAACTGCTCCTTGGTGTCCGTGTAGAGCAGCCCCGCATCCAAGCCCTCTCTGATGTTTGGCTCAAAGTACAGCGGCACTCCCTCGACCAGGAACGTGATGGGTATCTCCATCACGTGGTCGAACTGCAGGTCCACATAGAGGATGTTCTGATAGAGATCTGGATCGGGGAATATCGCCACCAGCGTGGTGTACATGCTCTGTCCCGTCGAGGCAAGTACTCCGCCCCTTGCTGTCAGATACTGAAAGGTGACGTCCTTCTGCATAGAAGAGCAAAAGGGACCAAAGATTACTCAGAAATAGAATGAGATCGGGAGAGGGGCAGGGGTAACAATCCTTACCAATTTCATCGTCAGCTTTGTGTTGGTGGGCGTGTAGTTGTCTATATAAAAGTGGACCTTGTGCAGCTCATAGGTCTGCAGGCGGCGGTGCACATAGGTGGGTGTGATCCGTATCTCAGTGGGCAGAACGTTGGCAAACAGATGGAAGGCATAGGGACGAGAGGCTCCCACAATCTTGACCAGACCCGTGAGCCGAGTGTTGCCCAGAGAGCGAAAGCTGACCGCGCATTTGGCCATGATGCGTGAAACTGAACCAATGTAGAACTTCCAGGTTCCATCCCGAAAACTCATCTCATTTGGCTGTGGGATTGGATTGGTTAAGAGGATAAAAGAAAAAACTCTCCGAATGGCGGATGGATGCTCACTATGACATCAAAGTGAAGAAAACCACCGGTGGTCGACCTGTTGTAGAAGCCCATGTCAAAGTCGTACTCCTCGCCCGCATACACAATCCTGGACGAGAGATCCACCAGATTGTTCCACTCTATCTCCGGGGTTACGCAGTTGTACTCGAACCAGAGCTTCGAGCAGAGAAAGTCCGACTTGATGAGCGTCTTCACGCTCTGTTGATCCTCGCTGGAACCTGAATTGGATAGCACAGACGGGCAGATGCGGACGGTGAGGGCGCGATGGAAATACCCCACCTGATTGGGTATCAGCAGGATGGTGATGGTGCGTCCCGTGTTGGGACGCAGGTAGATGATCTCGTTGTCGCAGTAGATCTCGCGCGGGTCACTGGGTATCGCGTTCCAGTCCATGAAAATAAAGTTGTTGTGCTTGGTGAAGATGGAGAAGTACTTGGTGTTGAGGAGTCCATGCAGCGCCTCCTGGATCACCCGCTTGTCCGTCTCCGTCTTGTCGAAAATCTTCTGCCTCTTCAGGTTCGTCAGCAGGTGGGAGGCCAGCATCGGAACTGGCTCTAGGGAGGGAGAAAGTAAATTATAGAAAGATCTCAGCGATCACTTGCAAATATTAGCCCACCCACCCATCACATCCTCCTCGAACTCCATGCTGTACGAGGACTCATTGATGTGGAGGGACTTCAGAGACAGCATATCCGGGATAATTGTCGTCAGTTTGATGTCGTCGAACTCTAGGGAATCGTTTCTCATGTCCTCGTGGGCTCGTTGGAGGTGCTTGATGGGATCCCGTACAGTGATGGGTAACATCTCCGTTGAGTCGCGAATGTTCAGCACCAGCGGCTGCTCCTCCCCATCGTCGCTGGGCTTCACCTGCAGGGTAATAGGCACCGCCAGCGGATTCATGAGCAGCATATACCGCTTCTGGGGGACAGCCATGGGTATACTGCCGAATTCGACAATCTGTGGGAAGGTGCGCAGCTGGACATGCTGCCCAGTGCCTCTGGATGGAGAGTGGAGGAGACGTTGGTCGTGCAAAGGGATCGCGCTGTGGTAGGATGGGATTACTCACTTGATTTGGACCTTGTGATGGCCTCCATTCACCACCTTAAAGCGCAGCGTGATCGTGAAACGGGCGGGATGAACGGTATAGAAGGAGAGGTTGAAGATGCCCCGGCAGCAGGGCTCCAGACAAAATCCCTCGATGGGCGTCATGCGCACCCCGCCCATATCAGGCTCCAGAGTGTCCTTGTACGCCACTTTGGCGGGCACAGCTGGGAGTAACCAGGGAGTATATAACAATGACTCTGACTCTCGACTCTGGACTCACCATCCACATTGAGGATCTTGATTTGAGAGCAGTGCTCCTCCCCCAGATAGATCTTGCGGAAGTCAATCACCTTCGGATACACCTCCACCTCGATGCCGCTTATCTCTCCGGATACAACAATAAAGTGCGACTCGATGCAGTCTTCGGCGTCGGTGAAACAAAAGTTGAGACGGGTGCGCTGGAAGTACGGCGGCTCGGCATCGTCCGAGAAAGGATCCAGGCTGTCGTACAAGGGTCTGAAGTTGACGACGATTTCCGCCGACGACCAGGCCGCAATCGAGGGTGGCACCACGAATCCAAAGTGCTTTGCGGCCGTGATACTATAGCTGACGTTCTGGACGTTGGCATTCTCCTCAAAGTCGAAGACGAGGACGCTGTGCATGCTGATGGCCTCGTCGATCAGTTTGTTCGAAAAATGGGAGACAATGCTCTGAGTTGCAGACGCTGCCTGATTCTGGTCCCCGTCGAAATTGCCGGTCATCATCACCTCATGTGGCGACTCGTTGCACACGGTCAGTGTGCGCTGCTCCTCGCGGGAGAACTTGGTTAAGCCGAAGGACATGGTGCCTCCACTCAGATGCACGCCCATCGATTTGGCCGTAAAGTCGAAAATTATCATTTTGGGAGCCACTGGGAAGGGAGAAATCAATGGAATGAATGCTGGGCACAACGACACAACTTTTCTCCCTTTGATACCTACTCACACCGAACTTAATGTTGAAGAATCCTTTCAGCTTCTGCAGCTTCTCTGGATGGAATACTAGAAGTACTTTGACGTAGTCTTTTGGCGGTAGCAGATCCTTGTTCAGTGTGTTCAAAGTCAGACCCCGACAGGTGCTGGAATGGGAGGAATGGCAGCCTTCAGATTGCATTCAGCTTTGATAAGAGCTCTCGAAACCTTACTTTCTGTAGCGCATTCGGATGCGTTCATCCGTGGGATTGTAGATGATCATCTCGTAGTAGGACTTGTTGTTGGGGACGCAGCGCGGAAGACTCAAGAACTCGCATAATGAGGGCTCCTCCAGCTTAAGCAACACTGCAGATAAAGATCGTGACGGGAGAGGATTATAAAGTGGAGTCTAATATCTGAGTGTGGGAGACATACCAATGATGGGCACTTGGAAGATGATGTTCGGGTGGAAGGACTCGACGTAAATGTGGCGTCTTCGGTTGATCTCACGCCAGGTGGTGGATCGGATCCAGATCTTCACCTCTAGCATCTTGTCGGTTTCCAGGTAGCGATGCAGATCCAGCTCGGGAATCGAGATGGATGTGTCCACGGGGCTGTCCGTGCTCACTTGGATCAGTCGGGGATACTGCATGGGATGATCAGAGGTGAAGATGGAGGACTGGAATGAATGGGTTGATCGCCTACCAGTCCACTGTTCCTGATGTTGAGCGTGAGGCCGTAGGTGGAGTTGATCTTGAAACCACGATGGTGAATCATCAGACGAGGCATGATGTGCAGCGAATCAATCAGGTTGGAGTAGTCGCTATAGTCTGCGGGTTAAGTGGGAGGGGGTAAATGAAAGACCAATCCTGCAAATTCTCAAGCTTACACTCCTTGGCTATGCAGCAGAAGTTCCCCTTGGATTTCGGCCTTGCACTTGTACTCCGTCTAGATCCTCCGTGTTCATCTGACCCTGCTCGGACTTCTCCTAGTTTCGCCGCGTCATCGTCTTCGAGCTGCGGTGGCGCCTCATTGGCCACATGGTGTATTTCAGTATCAGACATTGTCAAACTGTGATATTTCAAATAAAAGAAAATATAATATAAATTTGAGTTTAAATTCAAATCGAATATTGCGCCAACATTTCACAACGAATTCCAGCAGTCACCGTACTCGAAGAGTTAAGGGGTATATTAGATTGTTCTTGTAAATGCGCGACTGTATTTGTTGAAAAGTGGATATGTGCTGAAACGTTTCCGACTCCATGAAGTATATATATTCTTTATCAGCATCAATAGCCGAGAATAGCCAGAATAAAGAAATAAATTTTCAGTTCCAGTTTAGCACGGGACCATTCTACTCATTCTCTTTCTCCCTCGCACACACTCTGCCCTGTGCAATGCGCTACCTTTGCGAAGAATATGTATTATCTACATAATGTATGTTTCGCTTGCATTTGGTGAACATTAGAGGACCTACATCCTTCGCTTCCTTGCGTACTGCGGATGGTCTGCTGTGGGCCACTTTTGAATTGCGTTAGAGTTTGCTCGAACACGATACACATTGGGACTCAACGCTAGCCATTGCAACTTTTTCTGCGCCAGCGAATCAAAATCATACACTGTTTGCGAACATCATAGCCACATGCCAGCGTTAAAATGGGGCGAGACCATAATTTCAACCGAGTTTGTTTCGTTCTTTCGCATGGGGATGCGATTTAATGTTGGGCTTAAAATAAATGCAAAATCAACAAAGAAATTAAGCAAAAAAGACATGGCTCTAACCACGGTTCTCCACAAATAGCGGCGTGTCAGCGTCCGGAAAATAAAATCTTACTACAATTCAACCCATGCTGCATTATTTCACAATCAGCGGAAGGGGAGAAAAACCAGCACGAAATTCTCGGTCACCTACTTCTTGGCGATATGTCGGAACCTCTCGAAATCGGCCCAAACTCGGCATCCGCGAAGCTGAGGGCGCAAAAGCAATATTAAACCCAATTCCCAACTGCAGCCCGCACCTACTACGATGCAGTCTCAGCAAAACCCCACTAACCCACAATTATTGTCAACCAATAATAACACTACTCAACACGATTTTTCCTCAAGGAACAAAACCAACTTTTTATTAAAGATTTGGGGCTTAGAAATGGTTTGATGATATTTTTTTTTTTTCTATGGCAGAACTTTTTTTTGCAGAATTTTTTAAATCTGGTATTTTTTTTTTAGCTTTTTTCAGAGGTAGCGATAGTTTTTTTCACATAACTTTAGTATCTTACGTCTGGTTGTAAAGAACTTTGCTATTTTGAAAAGATAATTAAAACAGCTAGAAGTTAAGCCCAAACACTTTGTGATTACAGCTTACCGTCTGGGAAATATAAAGCATTGAAATGCAAAAATGATGATTTTTGTGCGGTATTTTTTACGAAATTTTGACTTTGAAAACTCAGGAATAGTCGAAAAAAAATTATATCTTGTGTCCTCTATTTTTTTGTGTATAGGTGGGTTGATCGCCTACCAGTCCACTGTTCCTGATGTTGAGCGTGAGGCCGTAGGTGGAGTTGATCTTGAAACCACGATGGTGAATCATCAGACGAGGCATGATGTGCAGCGAATCAATCAGGTTGGAGTAGTCGCTATAGTCTGCGGGTTAAGTGGGAGGGGGTAAATGAAAGACCAATCCTGCAAATTCTCAAGCTTACACTCCTTGGCTATGCAGCAGAAGTTCCCCTTGGATTTCGGCCTTGCACTTGTACTCCGTCTAGATCCTCCGTGTTCATCTGACCCTGCTCGGACTTCTCCTAGTTTCGCCGCGTCATCGTCTTCGAGCTGCGGTGGCGCCTCATTGGCCACATGGTGTATTTCAGTATCAGACATTGTCAAACTGTGATATTTCAAATAAAAGAAAATATAATATAAATTTGAGTTTAAATTCAAATCGAATATTGCGCCAACATTTCACAACGAATTCCAGCAGTCACCGTACTCGAAGAGTTAAGGGGTATATTAGATTGTTCTTGTAAATGCGCGACTGTATTTGTTGAAAAGTGGATATGTGCTGAAACGTTTCCGACTCCATGAAGTATATATATTCTTTATCAGCATCAATAGCCGAGAATAGCCAGAATAAAGAAATAAATTTTCAGTTCCAGTTTAGCACGGGACCATTCTACTCATTCTCTTTCTCCCCTCGCACACACTCTGCCCTGTGCAATGCGCTACCTTTGCGAAGAATATGTATTATCTACATAGTGTATGTTTCGCTTGCATTTGGTGAACATTAGAGGACCTACATCCTTCGCTTCCTTGCGTACTGCGGATGGTCTGCTGTGGGCCACTTTTGAATTGCGTTAGAGTTTGCTCGAACACGATACACATTGGGACTCAACGCTAGCCATTGCAACTTTTTCTGCGCCAGCGAATCAAAATCATACACTGTTTGCGAACATCATAGCCACATGCCAGCGTTAAAATGGGGCGAGACCATAATTTCAACCGAGTTTGTTTCGTTCTTTCGCATGGGGATGCGATTTAATGTTGGGCTTAAAATAAATGCAAAATCAACAAAGAAATTAAGCAAAAAAGACATGGCTCTAACCACGGTTCTCCACAAATAGCGGCGTGTCAGCGTCCGGAAAATAAAATCTTACTACAATTCAACCCATGCTGCATTATTTCACAATCAGCGGAAGGGGAGAAAAACCAGCACGAAATTCTCGGTCACCTACTTCTTGGCGATATGTCGGAACCTCTCGAAATCGGCCCAAACTCGGCATCCGCGAAGCTGAGGGCGCAAAAGCAATATTAAACCCAATTCCCAACTGCAGCCCGCACCTACTACGATGCAGTCTCAGCAAAACCCCACTAACCCACAATTATTGTCAACCAATAATAACACTACTCAACACGATTTTTCCTCAAGGAACAAAACCAACTTTTTATTAAAGATTTGGGGCTTAGAAATGGTTTGATGATATTTTTTTTTTTTTCTATGGCAGAACTTTTTTTTGCAGAATTTTTTAAATCTGGTATTTTTTTTTTAGCTTTTTTCAGAGGTAGCGATAGTTTTTTTCACATAACTTTAGTATCTTACGTCTGGTTGTAAAGAACTTTGCTATTTTGAAAAGATAATTAAAACAGCTAGAAGTTAAGCCCAAACACTTTGTGATTACAGCTTACCGTCTGGGAAATATAAAGCATTGAAATGCAAAAATGATGATTTTTGTGCGGTATTTTTTACGAAATTTTGACTTTGAAAACTCAGAATAGTCGAAAAAAAATTATATCTTGTGTCCTCTATTTTTTTGTGTATAGGTGCGTTAATTTGGCGTCGTTTAAGGTATCGCTCATTAAAATCTATGGAGAGACTTTGGAGCTAAAATTCGTTAACCAAACCTAAAATATGGAAAAAATGAACAAAAAATACCTTTTGGAAGGCGGCGAGCTCAACTGCCCATTGGGAATTGGGATCGCGATCAGGTACCAAATGTACAACCCTTGCTCGTTTGCTTTGTTCCCAATTGCCAGTTGGGCTGCTAGCTGTTTTAATTATCTTTTCAAAATAGCAAAGTTCTTTACAACCAGACGTAAGATACTAAAGTTATGTGAAAAAAACTATCGCTTCCTCTGAAAAAAGCTAAAAAAAAAAATACCAGACTTCAAAAATTCTTCAAAAAAAAGTTCTGCCATAGAAAAAAAACCATAATTCTTTTAAAAAATTTTAAATCCCCATGTCTATCAGAAAAAGTCGATTTGGATCCTTGAGGAAAAAAAAAGTTCGATTTTGTCGAGTAGTGTAATAAGTCATCAAACTACACTGACCCACTACCACAAATTGTCAACGAAGCACCAAGCTTCGACGCAAGCAACACGCCCTACATTTATGGTCAAAGATTGCAGTCTCAACAAAACCTTTTCCTGAAACACTGTTTTTATTATTATCAAAGAATTAAGGATAAGTTAGCAACAAGAAATAATTTCCGGATCAAAACCCCAGGTGCCAGCTGCTTAAAAAGGCAGAGAAGCAACGTAAAATAATTAAAGTGAATGAATAAATACTGAATAAACCAAGAACAACCAAAAACAAAACTCTCGCATCATCATTTCGCGCTTGCCTACTACATTTTTCAAGCCAGCCCGACACCTGAAGTCACCTACAATCTACAAATTTTCTTGAAGCGGACCCTGGACAGACTGATGCATACCTCAGCCTGAGATAGGACCTCACAAGTGGCGCCCGAGGAGGGAGCAGGCTTTCAAATTCAAATTTCATCATTTTTTATGGTATTTTTTTCAAAATTTAGAATTTAAAAACTCGGTTAAAGTTGAAAAAAAAAATAATTCTTGGCTAACATTTTTAGTTTTAGATAGACGCATTAATTAGGCGTCGTTTAAGGTATTGCTCATTAAAATCTATGGGTAAACGGTGCAGCTAAAATTCTTAAACCAAACCTCAAAACTGTAAGGATGTTTCTCAGGCCGGTGTACAGCCTCTCAGTCTGTCCAGGGCCCGATCCTAATACAGCCTATTTGTATTTTTGGGACCTAGAGATTCGAAACGGACTGGCGAGGTAAAAGGGGGCGTCGTGGCCCATACCGTCAGACACGGGGAGAGAACACTCGATGGAGAGGGAAAAGGCAAGGTTTTCTACGGGGAAGGTGCTACGGGAAGGGGGAGAGGCGGACCACAGTCACCGGGCGTTAACCGCGTACCGATGCTGTAGTGAAACCATGCATGTACATATGTAACACTCTGTTATATATATAAATACATAATTAAGAGCGTACATATGAGCAGTGACATAAACAACTTATGTTTATGTTACGCATTCCTTTTGCACAGCAACGATCTACGACTTGAACTCAGATCGGTCAGCTACCAAAACTGCTGAGCAGGCATTTACCCGAACCAAAGACAATATAAGTATAAGATGCGGAACGCTCATACATTTCAATTGCCATATGCAAGACAATTTTTCGGCCAGCGACGAAATTCGCGCCATCTCGCTCGCACAAATTTGAGAGCGTACGAATCTAAAAATAGAATCCGCTTGCATGTGTAAGTACACACAGAACAGCAAGTGCGTATGTGTGCGTACTTGTGCTAAGCGGACGATTTTCGAGACGGAAACCTTTTTATGAGTTGAGAAACGAAATTATATACCGGCGTTGAATACGTCGCATCCTGAATACCCTAATGGCAATTATTCCAATGTGATTCATGGAATTTCATGTATTAAATATATTATGTATTTTTATATATGTATATCCGATCATCATTATCGAATATACCATCTTAAAATAAACTATCGTTGAAGGGATATACATATACAATATAACAGTTTTTTAATATTGGGGTGGTAAGCGTCTTGCAAAATTAACTTACACCACTAAGCAAACAATTGGCAGTTGGGCCCGCCGCCTTCAAAAAGGTATTTTTTGTTAATTTTTTCCATATTTTAGGTTTGGTTAACGAATTTTAGCTCCAAAGTCTCTCCATAGATTTTAATGAGCGATACCATGAACGAGGCCAGATTAATGCACCTATACACAAAAAAATAGAGGACACAAGATATAATTTTTTTTCGACTTTTCCTGAGTTTTTAAAGTCAAAATTTCGTAAAAAATACCGCACAAAAATCATAATTTTTGCATTTCAATGCTTTATATTTCCCAGACGGTAAGTTGTAATCACAAAGTGTTTGGGCTTAACTTCTAGCTGTTTTAATTATCTTTTCAAAATAGCAAAGTTCTTTACAACCAGACATAAGATACTAGAGCTATGTGAAAAAAACAAGCGCTACCTCTGAAAAAAGCTTTAAAAAAAAATACCATACTTCAAAAATTCTTCAAAAAAAAGTTCTGCCATAGAAAAAAACCATAATTCTTTAAAAAATTTTAAATCCCCATATCTATCAGAAAAAGTCGGTTTGGATCCTTGAGGAAAAAAAAAGTTCGATTTTGTCGAGTAGTGTTATTATTCATTAAGAATATAATGTTTTTATACCCGTAGTCAAAAAAGAGTTAAGGGGTATATTAGATTTGTGGTAAAAGTGGATGTGTGTAACGCAGAGAAGGAAAATTTTCCGACCCCATAAAGTATATATATTCTTGATCAGCATCAATAGCCGTCCGTCCGTCCGTCCGTCTTGTTGAGCGCCTGGATCTCAGAGACTATAAGAGTTAGGGTAACCAAATTTCGTTTCCAGACTCATGTGATATCACGCTGCTACAAGTGTATTTCAAAATTTCGCCCCGCCTCCTTCCGCCCCCACAAAGGACGAAAATCTGTGGCAGGCACAATTTTAAAGATACAATAAAACTAAAAACGCAGTATCGTAGAGAATGCCCATATCTACCAGATTGCCAAATCTGAATCAGATCGGATCATAATTATAGCCAGAATGAAGAAATTAATTTTCTGTTGCTTCCCCTGCCCATCCCTACATTCCAACGACAACGCAACTCATTTTCCTTCTCGCTCGCACACTCTGCCGCGTTCAGTGCGGGAGCAACCCCTAGCGGAGGAGATGTAGAATCTAATTGGAACATGTACAGTCTACATGTTAGATGTAGAATATACATTGTATATGTAGATGTAGATATCATATGTAGCAAAAAAATGTAAAATGTAAAAATTTTTTTTTTTTCTAAAATTCTTAAAAATCATAAGCTCAAAAATGTATATACTGAATGAGTACGGGTATAAGTAGAGTCGCGTCCCCAGAAGCGACTCACACGTTCCTTCTCGTTGTTACTAATATCGATAACATTGAATATACTATATTCAATTTGATATTTTAACACACCTCCTCAAAAATATTATATTCTTTATCACTGGTTACATATTTACGTTAAAACAAGGCAGGCTACTATGGGAGTTAACATATAGTCCAGCATTTGCTGCGAGGATTAGGGA